TTGGGTAGCACTTAATTATGTTTCCTTTGCGGAGCACCTTTCGAAGTTGGCCACTGTGATATCATCACTGGAGAATGCTGCAAGGATACATTACTCTGGGCATAGCCTTGACGTTTAGGGCTGAGCCAAACTATTCATGGTTTTCCACAAATGTTTCTTGGAGTGTTGAAAGGCATCTCAACCTGTTGATGATTTTTCAGGAATCCTTGCGAAAAATGCTCACTTATTCATTTACATGAACTTTGGTCTCAGTTGCCATGTCACCCACCTGATTGGTTAGGTAGCATTACAATATAATCACTTTTAGGGTATGATCGCCCAGGCATCTACTCTCTTATATAACCAGGAAGCTTTCTTATATCAGATTAGACTAACTGCCCATTCTCACCAGCAGCAGTTTGCCAAAATCCCTTGGATATGCAAGGGATTCAAAGATGCTAAACAGCAATGCAAAAGCTGTTATCTCAGGAAAATATTCCACCCCCACTTAAACTTAAAAATCAAAACTGCAGAATAATCAGTCCAACTGCCTTGAAAATACATGTATGCATGCACAAAACATATGGGTGAATGTATAAACAAATTGCATGTAAGTAGTGTGCTGAATTTATACATTTTTAAATAATATACAATATCTGCATGATTTGTTTTAGATGTATCTAAGAATGCATGGTGGTAATACAAGGTTGTATATGGAAATTACTAAATGAAATGCATGCCCATACAGATAAACCCATTGCTTCCTAACAACCCCGTAATTATCCAGCTTAAATAATGAAACATCTTCTTTGCACTTCTGGTGCCAAAAGAGCCACCATCGTTCTATTCTGTCCGTTGCTTATTATTATTACATAATGAATCTCCAAAGATAGAACATGCTACTTTGTTTTAGGTGGGAGTAAGTCCCATTGACCTCAATGGGGCTTACTTCTGAAAGGACATCTATAGGATTGTGGTGCTAATTTTCCCATCAAGGAAGCTGAAGTAACAGTGCATATCCACCAAATTCAACTGCTTAAATAAGTAAATAGCTAAGACAGATGCCTCAGCAATGTTGAAACAGTGAATGCCTAAGCGCCACATTTGTAGACCCCTTCCTATCAATGCAGGACGTGGGTTGCGCTGTGGGTTAAACCACTGAGCCTAGGACTTGCCAATCAGAATGTTGGCGGTTTGAATCCCCACGACGGGGTGAGCTCCTGTTGCTCGGTCCCTGCTCCTGCCAACCTAGCAGTTCGAAAGCACGTCAAAGTGCAAGTAGATAAATAGGTACCGCTCCGGCGGGAAGGTAAACGCCGTTTCCGTGCGCTACTCTGGTTTGCCAGAAGTGGCTTAGTCATGCTGGCCACATGACCCAGAAACTGTACGCCGGCTCCCTTGGCCAGTAAAGCGAGATGAGTGCAGCAACCCCAGAGTCGGCCACGACTGGACCTAACGGTCAGGGATCCCTTTACCTTTACTCCTATCAATGCATGCAACTTCTCCAGGCAGATTTATACAAGCTTCTGTGGCGGCTCCAGACTACTTAGTCTGTATCCTACCTTTCTCCATTTTAAAGCACATGAGGGCCCCTATCACTCATAACTACTATTTCTTCCCCACTGGTTACTTCATGGCTGCTTTGGCCAGGTTTATCCATATTGCAGTTCGAACTGCAGGATGAAGAGTTTGGCACACATCTCTAGCTGGCATCCTTTGTTTGTCTCTTTCCTGCCCCTAAATTGACATGCTTTAAGAGATCCGGCTCTTTTCCTAGAAAAAGTCACTTACCGTCTGGAACAAAATGAGATGATCACCTGTGTACACATAGAATTACAGATCTGGCAATCTTTGGAGGGGATTTAAGAGAATGATGGTGTTGCAAGATGTGCATCATTATGCCATCTCATAAACCAAACTACTTCTCACCACTGCACAGAAGGACCTCTCAGTAGTATCAGCGGAAAAGACCAGAGAAATACACAGGCTTTTAACTTCTGCATTCTGATGCCTTTGATTCCATCCCTTTTTCTTTCCTAAACACGGTTAGCTGAAATCGCACAGTAGATTTTGATGGATATAATTATTTTCATTAAAATAGCAAACAGCATGGTGCATCTTTTTCCAGGGCAGATTGTACCGGAATTCTTACAGAAACAGGCCAAATATTGTATGTAGGAGTGACACCTTGGGAATATTTAATAGTATTTTTTTAAAGTTATAGTAGCAATAGAATTCTTTACAAGTTAGAATTCTTTACAAGCAACAGAATTCTTTACAAGTTAAGATCAGCTACATCTTGGTTTGATGTTTAAAGGAGAGAAAACAAGAGTTGGGAAGTTGTTTTAAAAATTAACTATTATGGTAAGCCAAAATACAAATCTTTTAGGAAAACTGGGCTTTTCCTCGTATACACACAGAAAACCAGGCACAACAGGTTTTTCAATTAAAGTAGTCTTCTGAGAGTGATAGAGGAAGAACCAAAAGCTTCTTAAAACCCTTATTGCTTCGCATATTTGCCACCTGGGGCTATGGGTCTGTTCTTCCCCAGTAAAAAAAAAAAGTTTCTGTCGCTGCTGTTGTTCTTTTTCTGACATGCCCAATTTTAATGGTTATTCAAGATGGATCACGCTATTTTCACACGTTCGATGGCTCTGCTTTTCCATAACCATTTAAGGTAGAGAAGATGGTGCCTATCACACTCCCCTTTGCATCATGAACAACTTTAATGAGGTAGGGTATCATTAGATGATAGCAGTTTTATGCTGAATGCAAGGAGGAGAATATAGGCACTTACCCAGCAAAGAGCAAGATAGAGAAATAATAGATACAATATGCAGAGATGAAAGAGCAAAGACGGCATCTCATTTACATTAATACAATAAAAATGCAGCACTAATGCGGCAACTTTTCCCTCGGAATTTTCTCTCTCTCCCCCAATAAAGTTGAACAATATTATGTTTATTATCACAAAGAGCTTAAAAGGAAGAGAATGCATTTGCCACAAACGCATAAGCATTACAGCACAGCTCCTGGCTATTAATATGTTTGAATTTAATTGCTCCTAATAGAAAATTTCATCAAAATGAACTTCGTAGCAGCACCTGAAAACGGGTGATGGAATCAATTGGAACTGAACATCTGCACTTGGTGAACAGCAGCCAAAGCAGAGCAAACCGATGGAAATAGCTTGCTTTTTGCCTTCCCTACAATTTATACCACCAGCACAAGCATGCTAAGTTTTTTGTTATGTTGGGACTTAATATCCCCCCCCACGATAAGTTGGGGGCTCTTTTGTTCTTTAACAAAACAACTGTCTCAAGTGGCCCAGAGCATATAAAGATTTATTCCGTCTTCTGCAATTTGGAAAACTAAATCTTCCTATCAGCAAGATTGCGAGGGTCACATTTCTCTATAGCCTCCCGATGGGTTGCTTAAAACAATGTATGTGTGGGCAGGACTGAGAATGGAGACCCGCATAAATGCACATTTATTTAAATTTTGGAATCAATTTTTAACAAAACGATTGTTTCAAACAGTTCTGAGCATTTAAAAATTCTCTCTCTCTCTAGCAGTTTGGAAGACTTCATATCAGCAAAACTCTCAGTGCCTTGTTTTTCTATAACCTTTTTATTTGCGCCTGGGTATGGATGTGGAAGAATGTACGTGTGAGAACTGAGAGCATGGAGATGCACATATGCACATTTATTTACATTTAGATATTCCTAAAGGAGATTCGGTTTCGCCTTGGCCAGATTTCTTGGAGACCATTAAACAGTATTACTGCAGGCCATAGATCATAAACAATGTATTTCCCTCCCCCGCCCCCTGCTCCAGAGCTTATTACTTTTTTGTAGATAATGTTAGGCCTTTTTCTTCCTGATGGTAAAACTGTGCTTCTTCAGAAATAAAGAACATCTCCCCTTTTCTATTCTAAACCTTTAGCTCCTGATTCTAGTATTTTCAACTATTTTTAAATCCCTCTCTTAAAAAAAATAAGTGGCTATCAACAACAGTTGCCAAAGGGAATGTGTAAATCTAATGGGGAACCGTGCTCGTCTGTGACCCATTTCCCCAAGAAATCTTACAAAGACACCATTCCCTAGTTGCTTTTCAGCATGAAGGTATGCCTAGCTCGCAATAGGCTGCATTAAGCATCTGGTTTAAAAAATGGCTTTAAAAGATGCAAAATGCCAAGCACCTTGCATCAGAGGTTATCCTAGTAAGGAGGAAAAACTATTTCAGTTTCTAAACCTAAATGACACTTTGAGCATATGTCATGTATTGTGGGGCGAATCTGATGTTCATAGTATTCACAGGTCTTCTGGCTTTGTAAACTCCTGCTGCAATCCCAGGTCCCCTGATCATTTTAAGGGACATTTTAAAGGCCGTACTGTATTTTGCCCCACTAAACACACACACACACACACACACACACACACATTTAATTTCCAGTTTGTTACAAAGAGAATGTAGAAAGCACTTCAGAGCACCATTTGTAATTGACAGGAAACACAATAGCAATAATAATGCCATTGATTTGGAAACACTGTTATAGGACTATAAAGTGACTACAGTAAAGAAAACCAGACCTCTCCAAAGACTCCGCAGGGAAGTTCTACAGGAAGGCTAAGGGCAAAAAATAACTCATGCCATAACCTTAACAATATCCTTTTATTTTTCAGATTAAGAGCCTAATCTCACTGTACTTTCAGTGCCAGGCCTTGGAACAAAACTAACAGTGCATTCCTCTGCAAATCTACTCAGAAGTAAAACCCATTAAGTTCTATGGAGTTTACGCCCAGTGGATATAGGACTGCTGCCTAAAGCAGCAATCTTTGCACACAGCCTTGCTGAGGCATAACCCTCACTGAATTCAGCAGCAGTCACTTCAGAGTAAGCATTTGTAGAAACGGGATGCAGTCCATAAGAATACGGTCTGTTGGGTTGGACCAACAATCCCACAAAATTCTTTCTTTCTTTCTTTCTTTCTTTCTTTCTTTCTTTCTTTCTTTCTCTCTCTCTCTCTCTCTCTCTCTCTCTCACACACACACACACACACACACACAATGCAAAAATCAATCATTCCAATTTGTTGAATGAATGAAACTAAAATCTTCTGCTGTGAATCAAACATGTTTCCAGCTGGCTCAAGTTATCAGGCTCCCTAAACCATCCTGCTGCTTGTGCGAGCATGTTCTGGAAGTAAAAACTTTACAAATGTATTTAATTTCAGAAAGAAAGATGCCTTAATAAAATTAACAAAGGGGTATTTTCATAGCCAGGCTTTATGAAAAGAAACTTCGTGTGCTGCGCTGCCTACACAACGCTTCCCTGTCTGCAATACAATCCGAAAGTCTAAATGAAGACTATATTCTGCATTGGCAACCAATGTCTCAGCCACTAAAATAACCAGATTAGATTCCTGCCACAAATTAACATTTTTTTATGGTTAACATCTGAACTCTTAAAGTCTGCACAACAGCTTAATGCAATTTCTATTCTGTCTGTCTGATACTGAACATCAGCACTTCATCAACTGAAGTTGAATATTTCTGCGGCCACACCTGAAAGAAAACCAGACACCGTATTTTGCCGAAAATAAAATCAAGGAAGATTATGTCTTGGACAGGCAAAAAAAAAAAAAAATCTGGGAAAGGAGAAAATGTTTTCAAGTTTGCACTGATTTTTTTTTTTAAAGTTATGAGGGTCCACCCATGCATAATATCTAAGCAGTTTTGAAAAATCAAACATTTATTAGAGGATAATGAATATCACATTCTGGTTGGAAGCCTTTAGTGGACAGAGTGCCAGCTCCTGGATTTTTTTCTGGGCAGGAAGGAAAGTTGGGACAAGATGCTCTCCCCACCTTCGGTGAGTCTCTCTCTTTATCGCAGCAGATCCAGGGGTCGCTTTTCTGTGGGCTGCCTGCTAGAATGGAGAGCTCTTGGCAGATGCCCAAACATGGCAACTCCTGACCTGGGCCCTAAGTGTCACTTGCAAAAAACCAAACATATACACATGCCCTGGTTTGGAATATCTTTTTTGGAGCTGTGTCTTCACCGGGGTGTGAAGCAGAGAGGTGTCAGACCACTAGACGTTTCTCCCAGCGAACTAGTAAATGTTTTATCTGAATGGGGGTTGGACAAAGCTATGGGGGGAAAGCAAAGACTTCTGTGACATCCTAATAAGTTTTTGTGAGCTACCAACCACTTCATGTGTATGGGATGTAACTGGGAACTGCTAAATATGTGATATGATGAAATTCAGATTGGAGGTTGTCGAGGAAGTCTTTTAGCAATGTAAATACACCAGGGAACAAAAAGAAAAAATGCTTTTATTTTGTGTGTTTTTATTGTTGTTAAGTTTTTATGTTGTGACAAATGTAATGTTTTTCTTTGGTTTTTTCTGTGTGTTATAAGAGAAAACCAACCATTTTTTTGGAAACCTCCCCCCCCCACACACACATATGTATGGGATGTTATCCTGAGGCACAGGAGAACTCAGGGCAACATTCCCTGTATGTAAGGCACAACAGCAAGACTGTTGTTTTTAGTGCAACAGACTAAATAATGGGAAGATAAATGCTTGAGCTTAGGTTAGACCAGCTGCCTGGGCACCAATATTTCCAAAAGGCCCACTGCCCATTGTCACTGAGTATCATGGAGGAGCAGAGAAAGTCAGAAACATCATGAGAAATTTATGAGTGTGTTTTGCTTCCAGATTAGGGAGGACCACTAGAAGCACCCTTCATCAAAGGTCCTCAAAATCCCTGGATCAGAAAAAGGAAATGGTTAAAGTATTATTTACTACATGTGGGCATTTGAGATTTAAGGAGGAAGCACAAGGCAAAGAAATAAGGTGTCCTACAAGGAAAATGTAGGCTGCCTACAGGTGAGGACCGGGATGAAATTTCTGATCATTTATGAAGCTCATCCAGCAGCGTGGGCAAGCCATTTTCTCAGCCTAACCTTCACCCAGTTGCAGTGAAAATAAGGAAGGTAAAAACTGCAATGCTCCTTATGCACAATGAAACGTGCCATAGAAATTGGGAGGAAACTCTAAATTGCAGCCAGCTATTAAGAGAAGTGAGTTGTCCATTTCGACAACAAAAATAGCAATCCAAATACCATATTCTTATGAGCTGATATGGTGGTCCGTTCTGATTCACAAAATAAAATGGATATATAAAGGGCAGTGGAAATCGTGTCCCAAGTAATAATCTATCCAGATGGCAAATTGGTTGCATGTTAGATCATCGTGCTGCCAAGTGGCCAGGAGACTTCCACCCCATGTCAGTTAAAGCTGTGTGGTGCAATTGTTGCCACCCATCTCACACATTTCATGTGTGGTCCCACAAGGCCAATCCACAACCAGAAATGGATTGGTGCATTTGCCTGATCCCCAAATGCAATCCAGATTGAGGCCATCCCAAGACATTTTGGGCACTGGAGACAGATGCCAAGATGGCCTTGGTCTCCACCAAGGAAGAAAGTGATCAGGGAAGATCTACATGAGGAAAAATGGAAGGAAGGAAGGAAGTTTGACATTGGGATCTGCTGGTAGACCCTGCTGCCTGAGGTGGTCGCCTCACCTTGTCTCTTGGGCCGGCCAGCCCATTTGATGGTATCAAATGGGTGGGCTTTGAGCCAAGAATGGGGCCATTTTATTCCACTTAAGAAGTTAAATATCTCTCCTCCTTTTTGAACCCAAATTGCTTTCATGAAATCCGTCTGTGTTGTGATATAAGGATATGAACTTGAAGAGTTTTGAAGCAAGAGTCTTTTTGGTGTCTTTGATGCGTACTTCCTCTCCCGGGGGAAATACAAGGAAGACAATGTATTTTTATTTTATAGTACCATTCAGGCCTATTTTCCTTGGTACCCAGTTTTATTGTCTTTCTAATAATGAGGTGAGTAGTAACATTGGATAAATGCAAAGCCTTTGATCATGATTATATGCATAACACACATCTCTTACTATGCCATATATGAGACCTAAGACCTTGCTAGTCTACCCTGGAAGAAGGTGGATTGCTACGTCTGAAACGGTTGTTCGCTATTTAAATAACTGGTACTATTAAGGTGCAAATTGCAACTTTTAAGTAATGATTGCTAATAGTCTTATGTTTACTGCCACACAAGGACTTTCATGAAAACAAAATCTGCATTATTCATTTCTAGCTCTGGTAAACAAAGTAAATGCAGCTGGTTGCTCCCTGTGTTGCACTTTTGAGCTTTTTGCTTCTTAAACAGGCAACCTATCAGGGCCCAGCAGAGACAGGAAAGAGAACCAAAGGGGGAGAAAAAGAAAAGTGCTAAGTCCAGATTTTACATTCCCCAGCAATACGCAGCAAATTCACAATTTGTAATATAAAATATGCACATCTTGACAAGCTGTAGGAGGAGAGGAGGGCTTAATCCTGTGCAATTGGGTATGAAAGCTATTTCCTATATAGAGAAATAAAAATGGAATTAACATATCAATTCAGTCTTAGTCCTAGCTTTTCCTCTCCCCTCAATTGTGTTGGGTCATGCAATGGCTGCTCCCCAGAGACAGCTGCATTTTTTATAATTCAGAAACAACATTCTCGGCCTAATGCTCATCTTTCTCACCACGATGTAATCCCATTGGCTACAGGAGAATTCCTCCCGTCTCTCAACCAGGGGAGAAGAAGGGAATCAGACCGACAGTCTGCAAAGCACCTTGGGCTCTTTAGGGATGCAAGATAACAATGCACATGTAATATATCATTACAAATAAATGTATGATGTAATGTCAGCCACTGACCTAAAAATATTCAAACATCTGCTCAAAGAATTATGCAGACAATAGTTGGGGAAGCGGGGGGGAGAACAGTGCTGTTGAGAAATGAGTCAAGGGGAACATATGTGTTTGACATCGCTGTTTTCCTGACTCAAAGTACGATTTAAACAACAACAAAAGAGTTAAGGACAAAATATGCCATCATCAAGCCCAAATAGCCCCTACTTATTCACTTACACCACCAGCTTCATTGCAGCATTCTGTAACATACAATATAAGGATCTCGGGGCTTAACATTAATTATAGGGGGGGTGGAGGGGTGGAAATTGCCATGTAGGTAGATTTTCATCAAGCAGCGGGACATCCTTGCTGATTCACTTGCTTGTTCTCTCTAACCTTTACGTTGTTCATTAATCAAATGAGAAACCTGCTTTCGAAGTCAGTGCTGGGACGCAATTATTTACAGTTGTGCATAGTATATAATTTCAAGCAATGGCCAAAGCAGCTATGTGCAGGATCCTAATACCTTAATACCTTCCATCCCCTTAGAGACCAGCTTCCTAAAAAGTTGCAAACTTTTCCGAAGCATAATCCACTGTCATAATCCAATGTCCCTCCCTGAGCATGCAGATTATTTGTTTGTTTGTTTTAAAGAATGACAAAGCTTGCATTTAAAAGAAGGCGAAAGAGAATACTTGTTGTGCCAAACATCTGGATAATCAATTGCTTCCTCCACACCTTCCTCATTCTGCCTAAGGCCATGTTGTGGCTCCTGGACCTCTGAGACGTCCTTCACCTTATAAAACAAAATCTGTATACTAGAGCAAGGGAAATGAAAACAAATGTAACAATATTGCATGATGTTTTAAAGACACCGTGTAAACTCAAAGCAGGGCTTGCTCCGAAACAGTAGAAACTTGCTCTCTATTTGCTATGTTACATGTAACCTTAAAGAACAAGCCCCCTCATAACTTGAAACAAATATTAAACAGGGGGCAATAACTTCTGAAAGCCAAGCACATATTTCACAACATAATTACGGGATATCATGGGCCCAAGTCATTCAAACTGTCACCCAGCAGTTTGAAAACCTCTACAAAAAAAAAAATGTTCCAAAGTTCTTTTCAGGGGAGTGGCATCTTGGCTAAGGACCAAGGATGATACCAGTGTAATTAACAAGGAGGCTGTTATCATGCATAAGATGCCTATTGTATGATATTATTTCCAGGTGGCACACGAACCTACCTTTTCCGGCATCCCTAACCTCTTAAATTCCAGCACACTTCAGGAAGAAGGAGTGTTCAAAAGTCCGACGAAAAGGAAAATCAAGGAATGTGTACATGGCGGATCAGGGCTGCCAGCACCCACAATGGCAACAGAAATGCTTTCAAGAGACGTTGGAGTCTTAGTTTATAAAGAAGCAGAATCGTAGTACATAGGGCCTGTATTCATATGGAAAATCTAAACTTGTACCGCTAACAAGGAAAGGTTGGTTTCTTTATTTTGGGCAAATGAGTGCAGCAATAACCATGTGGCAATACTGTTACTGCTGTCCTAAATGTCAGCAGAGTGAAAAATAACCCCCATATAATACTCTCCAAAGAAATTGTCTCAGTTATGCCTTTTGATTGTAGTCACCTAAAGCCCTTTTGTATAAAATATTCGTAACTAGCCTTTGAATTGCAATTATAATTTCTAATCTATAGACATATATTAGGGAGAATTGGGGGGAAATTGCCGAAGGTTGAACTGGGTCAAGTTTGTAAAAGTTTGTCAAACCCATTCTCCCCTCCAAGATTAATTTTCACATTTGAATAGTCCTCAAGCAGTACTGCGCAAGATTTACTCAAATGCCTATCCTGAAACTTTCCCACATTTCAAAGCTATATTATTCAGTGTCTAATGGAAATGCAAAGTGTTATCTGATGATCTCTTGGCAGAGGGGGGATTGGAGAGGTTTTTTTAAAAAACAAAACAAAAACAACAACAACACAGCAACAACTTAGCTTCACTGTACAGCTTTAGTCTAAGTGAACACAAAGAAGAAAAAGACAAATCCCACCCACATTAAAGCCAAACAAGATAATAATTGTGAATGTCTGGCTAAGAGATTCTAGAGGGCAAGACTTGCGTCACTGGCACTCAGGTTACCATAGTGAGTGATTTATTGATATGTATCAAGAATGAATAGATCAAAGGCAGCAAGATGACAGGTGATCAATCAAATGTCAAATCAAAGTTGGCAATCATCTGGAAACCTGATTTTTTCAGTGGGTGGGTCTGGTGGCAGAAAAAAATGAACTTCCCAGCTGCGCTACCCAGAAACAAAAATCCTAGCAAACTATTCTCTCTGTCTCTGTCTCTCTCCATTAACCAACCTTACATTAAAATACATGCACACACCTAAAATCCACGTTAACATTGTGCAGGCCTCTCTGCTCCCCCGTTCCTTACTAGGCTCAACTTTTCCTAGCCTCTCTTTCCTCCCCATTTGCAACCGAAGCAGAACACCGTCCCAAAAAGTTGCAAACTGCTGGAGCCGCCGGAAAAGCCCTAAAAAAAGCAAAAAAAACCCCGGTGCATCTGACCCCCCCATCATGCAGGCTAGAAACAGTTGCATTTCAACTTGAATAGCAGCGTGCAAGCGAAAGGAGTCCGAAAGATTAATTTGATTGGAATCTAAGGGGCTGCCTCCTTAACCGTCAGAACGTTCGTTTTATTTCCTGTTGCAGTTTCTTCTCTCCACCCCCCCCCCCGCACGCTTTCTTTCGCCACTGATGATCAAAGGCTTGAACTTCAACCAGCGGGTTCATCAACAGAGACAGACAGCACCCCCCGCCCCCGCCGCTATTTCAGAGGGAGAAAGAGAAAGAACTGAACGAGGAACGACGCTATGGAAATGGTGATTATTATTATTATTTTTTTAAAAAAAGCAAAACATTACTCCTCTAGAGGCATGCAAACTGCAGTACAAAATAATATATATATATTAAAAATCCAAGAGCTCCTCGTTGCAAACCCCATAGCAGGGATGCAACGCAAAGATGATCAAAGGGGATTTGAGGGGGTTGGGGAGGGGAGAGAGGAGGGGAAGAGAGGTGAGAAACCATGTGGAAGAAAGTTGGGGGGAAAAGTTTAAGAGGGAGACAGGACCCGAGCAGCGTCGGGACGAGGCGGAAAAGCGGTCTTCTCCCCCCTCCGCACCTCTCCGCCCGCCCTTAAAAAATAAATAAAAATAAGCACCGGTTGGTGCGAAAACTAGTCGGCTTCCAGAGAGGCTGATTCAATAGTGTCCAAGTTGCAAAGGATGCGGGGGGGGGGGAGGAGAGAGAGAAACAGAGAGGAAAAGATTGAAATAAAAATGATGGGGTTTTTTCCTTCCCTTTTTAAAAAATTGCAAAGACAAAATCTCTCCAAGCGCGTCCTTACAATAAACTGTGGGGGAGGAGGGGAGGGCTTAAAGGTCTTCGGGAGACGCCGAGAGGGCTGCGGCGAGTGGGTTGGCTCCTTACCTGCTGCCCGTTTGGGTGCCTGCTGTTTCCTCCTTGGCATCGCTGTACTTTCTCCAATCTCACTTCTCTTTCCAGATCCGAGGAGCCTTGGAAGCTCGCGGGGCTTGTTTTCTGTCTCTCTCTCTCTCTCTCTTTCTGTGTGTGTGCGTGTGTCTGTGTTTTTTTTTCCCCTCTCCCTTCCCCTCCCTCCCTCTCTCTCTCTCTCTCCCTCTCTCTCCCTCTCTCTTCCTTTCCTCCCCTCCGCCGCTTTGCCTCCTCAGCGACCCACCGCCGGCAGCACTAAGCACCCGTCTCTCTTCTTTGGCACTTCTCTGACGAGATCAACCTGTTCGGATTCTGATTCTTAGGATTTAATTTTAAAAAGGAAAGGGAAACCGGGATGGGGTGGGGGGTGGGGAGCGGCTGCTTTTCTATCTATCTCTCTTTTTTGGTCTTGTTTGAACTGTTGCAAGACTTGCTTTGATGCAAAACATCCAGGAACATCAAATGCAAAAAAGAAAAAAAAAAAGGTGCCGGGATTTATTTTGTTTTTGTTTTTTGAAAAGTGATCAATAAATAGCAAAATATAGATATGAAAAATATTTTTTTTAAAAAAAAGCAGCTCAGGCGGTTGTTTTCCCCCCCTATTTCCTCTCTTTCCCTCTCACCCCCCTTTCTCTCTCTCTCTTATTTCTCTCCCCCCCCCCTTTCCTCGTCGCCTCCTTCGCGTAGATCTATATGGCGGATTGGTGAGTGTTGGCTGAGAAAACTGCAGGTTTGTTGCTGTCAGATGCCAGGTTGTGAGTGATATGGAAGAGGACAGAGAAGCTTTGGATGGGAGGAAATCTGGTGTTCACACACACACGCACATCCACACACATCCACACGCACATCCACACACGCACATCCACACACACACACACACACACAGGCACAAGCACAGGCAGGGCGAGGCGATGCCAGCGAACATCGATCCACTGAGCAAACTGTACATTAACAAACTCCTCCTCCGCGACCTGATGACAGGATGAAATTTACTCCGAGCAGACAGAAGGCAGTCAGTTTATTAAAGAGACAGGGCTTTGCTGATCACAGGCACTTCGGCGGGAGGGGGACGGAAGGAGCGAAAGAGACCACCTTATTCAAGCAATCGCTCCTCCTCCAGTGCCAACCTGTTTGTTTACTCAACTCACCTCTCTCCTCACCCCCCCCCATAATATGATCCTTTCCTGGCTAGCCCCCCTTTCCCATCACTGCAGGAAACTGGACCAAATTGTGACAACCTCCCCCCCATCCCAATCAGGGCACTGGAAGATCGATTTCATGCAGGATCCAGCCTTGACAAGCAGCTGATCAGGTGAAGTGGACAGTGCATCTGAGCATGTTCAGAGTGCCTCTCCCTTGCCAAGGATTGCCTGAGATATCTATACCCCTGCTCTCACAGATACACCATCCTGAATATTAGAAAGGGTTTAAAAACAAAAAAAACCACACACCCTTCTATCTGATTCCCTCTCTTTCAGGCACACAGTTGGGAGGATGGTACATGATAAAGTTCTCTCTTTCCCACACTTTTGAAAATAGATTGCTGACAAGTTCTCACCATCAGAGAACGACACCCAGGAGGTGTTGGGTTGCCTCTGGAACAAACTGTATGAAGTTTCCTTTATTTCCTTTTCCTCTGTTTCGCCCAGGTGTTTGGCGGCGATAGCCAGATGAAGGCTGTAGCTGCTTGCAGCTGGTAGGCAATGAGAGAAAACTCCTTGAAGTGGAGGAGGCTATGGAGAGGTGAGTGGGAGGAGGAGGAGAAGGAGGAAGAAAGAAAGAGGGTGAAACAAGGGCAACAGGATCCTTGAGGCTTTCCCTCCAAGAGCATCGCTTTGGCATAGGAAGGAGAAGAAACAAAATGCGTGGACGCCACAACATGTGCATTTGGACAAGTGTACACATCTGGTGGGAGCCTCCTGCCAGTCGCAGCTTCCTGCTCTGTGTACACCAAATCTCAGTGCACACGTGTTTGTCCGCCACACGATATGGCATACATGCAGCTTGGCCACCTGGAAGTGATAACCGTGAAGGAAATCATCTTGTGTGAAGTGGCCCGAAGGAGGAAGTAACATTACAGTCCCACTTATCGGAGAGTGATCCAGATATATTGGAAACATCTGGAGGAGCGGCAGTTTTGGACGCGATTGTACATTCAGCTGCATTAATGGAGAACAGAAGAGGATGAAGAAAAAAAGCAGGGAGGTGTCTGAGGTAGCTGGGAGAGGCCATTTGGTGGAGTGGATCATACAAAGCTGGTCTAGGATCAGTGAAGAATCGAGGCTGTCTCGTGCCACCATCAGCCACTGATTCACCAGAATCTCCACATCACCTTCTCTGTACAATGAGATGGGGTCCTTGTCTTTTGGTGTGCAATAGATTTAAATATCCACAAATGTGCAATAGTTATTCAGTGGGCCAGGACCAAGTGCTAAAGCTTTTGTGCATCATACCACTTTCAGCAACACAGTTGTTTTCCGGGAGTAATCCGCCCCCCCATAAATAACAGTCAAAGATGCATCTAACAAGAGCTATAGACAAAAGAAAGCCTTACCAATTCTCTGCCAAAGAAGCAAGTCTCCGTTTATGTTGCTGGAGCTCTTGACATTTTTTCTCGTGACAATGCTCCTTTTGCATGATACTCTGTTTTCCCCTGTATTCAGTCCACAGTTATTTTGTCAATGGGAACGTGAGATTCTGCCACCCCAAACTAGAAGCTCCATCGCAATTATGAGCAGGATGTGGAATGTAGTTGTCAAACTGAGTTCATGGGGATCCCTTTGGACAAAAGCTTTGACGAGAAATCTTGTTTCTTTCCAGTGCCATTTGGGTGAGCTTTGGATCTTGTATTTTATTTTTCTTTATTTAAAGCAAAGATTTCATCTCACCTTTTATCAAGTTTTTTTTTAAAACAAACAAATAAATAAATTGCAAATGTTATTGATTAAAAAAGCAATTATGAAACATAAAATGTTGCTTTCTAGGACAGATGCATCTACAGATGTTAGGTCTTGTATGCAGTCACCCACATGGCATCAAAACAGACTTGGAAAACCTGTTACATTACAGATTAAGCTCACATTCGCAAGGTATACTTCAGTATAAAGCATTAATTTCTCCCTAGAAACTATCAAGGGGGCATAGACATTATCAAGGGGTTAATCAATGTATTAAAAATCAAGACAAGTCTCATGATAAAAGAAGCAGGGAGTGTAAAATGAAGACAAGCAAATGTTCCATTAGAATATTCTCTTGGGAGCCACCCAGAATGGCTGGGGAAACCCAGCCAGATGGGCGGGGTATAAATAAATTATTATTATTATTATTATTATTATTATTATTATTATTATTATTATTACAGCCTTTGACAACTGTCTAGATGATTTGAACTACAATGCCCACCAGTTTCAGCCAGTACAACCATATGCAAAGGCTATTAAAATAATGGGATAATAAAATTATAGTCATTGGACCCCACCCCCCAAATATACTGTAAATTCACTCAAGACTACAGCAGCCAGGTCTGATATTTGGTTGGGGAAGCCCACTTTTCCGTAGTAAACTCCCCTAAGACTTGGGAGTCAAGTTTTCTTGCCTCCTAGACCAGGCATCCCCAAACTCGGCCCCCCAGCTGTTTTGGGACTACAACTCCCATCATCCCTAGCTAACAGGACCAGTGGTCAGGGATGATGTGAACTGTAGTCCCAAAACAGCTGGAGGGCCAGGTTTGGGGATGCCTGTCCTAGAAAAGGCCCCAGGGACACCATCAGCACCACAACAGAAAATAAGCTTTGCTCCTCTCATCCATTCTATGATGCGACACCTTCTTAACAAATAAACATTTCCAACAGGTGACTGGGGGCAGGGGAAAGAGAATGACCACAAAATGCAATTTCTGAACTGGTTTATTATGGATGTTATCAGTTTTGTTTTGTTTTTAATTTGCATAATTTTATTCAAACTTTCCTCTTTTATCTTCCACCCCATTTAGCACCCTTAGATTCTGAACCCCTTGGAGACTCCCCTATTAAAGTTTGGTGGAATCCTTGATTACCCTTTAGTCCCGGGAAATTAAAGTGATCAAACTGAAACACCAGTGTGCCTGAGAAACAGAACTTTCCACAACACAACATTAGTTAAATATGAAGCTTTTTTCACCCCTCTAGCCCAGATTTTGGGCAGAAACGACATTTTAGGAGGATTTTCAATAGGTAAAAGGCATGTGTTTCTGTGTGATGCATGACCTTTTGCCACACACAACCTGCAGGACCAGACCAAATACCTTTCTGGGTTCAGCATTCTGCTCTCTCAGCTGCTGCCAGATGTCTATGGAAAGCCCACAAGAAGGAAATGAGCATGATAGCTGCCTGTCTCCCAGTCGTGATGGGGATCATAACTGATGGGGATCATAAGTATACAGCTTAAAGGGTTTTCTACAATCAAGCAGTATAAGAAACTTATGAAAGAAATCATAAATAAGCACTGTTTTAGAGCACCTATAAAATAAATAGTGCATTCCAATAAAGCATTAAGAGAGAGAGAGAGAGAGAGAGAGAGAGAGAGAGAGAGAGAGAGAACTAGCTTTTCTTGGTGAAGAAAAGACACTTTGAAGATGCTCAGTGGCACTCTTTACTTCACATAATCTAGAACTGAGCATAGCTGTTAAGCAATTTTGAAGACTGTGAGCTACTGTACTGACCTTAGATCAAATCAATCCCTTCCTAACAACCCTTGTGGAAGTAAACATTGTGGAAGTAAACACTGGAGTTACAATTTACAGGCATAAGTGCCCTGAAGTAGTCTGGCAAACACTTGCTTCTAGGTTCATCTCTTTTGTTCCTATCTTGATGCAGCTGGTCATGTAAATTGGCACGGATACAGGTGCTGCAGAATAATAATCCTGCATTTGTAAGAACTAGGACACAGGTGTGGGAAACACCTTGGAACTCCCTGCCTATTGATATAAAGCAGCTGTCTTCAATGTATCCTTTCCAATGCCTGTGGAAAATATTCTTGTTTAGATAAGCCTGTCCAGATTAGAAAGTTGAGATAATTTTAGAATTCTAACTTTTATATGGTTCAGGGTATGGTTGTAATTTTACTGTTTTATCTTTAGTAAAAAGTTTTTTTTAAAAAAAAATCTAGCAATGTATACATTTTAAGAATAAATGAACAAACAATATCATTTTTCCCCCCTCCAGAGGTGGAGTAAAATATGAGAGTCAGATGCGGTTGCTATTAAGTACTGCAATAAATGCAGCACGTAGCACACTTGCGTCAAATCAACAAAGCCACTTCTTGTGGAGGTGGTGCATACAAGCAAATGCAAACTTGTTAGTAATAAATACTTATTTATCTTACAAGACCATTTCTGGATTGCCTTTGAGCCCTAACAAAGACCTCGGCCCCCTGCAAGGCATTTTACAGTCAAGTCAAAACCAACAGAGCCAATAAAACCACGGCAATAATTTTAGTGTTTCAGGGAATGTGGCTGCAGGGGAGAGTGAGTGGGTGGGTGGGTGGGCCGGTTGACGTTGGTTGGGGAAGGTAAAGTGGGCAGACAATTTCTGAGGTTGGTTTGGCCTAGAAAATAAGCCAAGGCATTTTCCAGTTCTTGCTTTTAACAGACGCTTGGCTTGTTTTCCAAGCTGCTGCAATGTGGAGCCCAGGGAAAGTCACCCATTTGTGCTGCAGACTCAGGCCAAAGATATAAATCACTTGCCCTAAAAATTAAACGAGGGTTGATAGCATATTATGAGGAGAAAAAGCAGCTAAAACAATTGCAATCACACAGCATCACCACCAGACCACCATTATTATTATTATTATTATTATTACTATTATTAACAATTTAATCTTGCAAGGGTTTGAAACTTGCTGTGAGTCTACTGAAATAACATCATGGCATGTTTCCCTCCACTGAAATCCGAACAGACACTATCTGCACTTTTAGGGTTGCCATTTGCAATTTTGCCCAAAAAGCTCAACAACCCCCCCTCCCTCAGTTCATTTTCACTGTTGGAAATATGGCAGCCCTATGCACTGTTGTGGTTTCTGAAGACCTTTGGTACTTGAGACACTGGATTGATTTTTCTCAATTTTTCCACATTTCTTTGGAATGCTCCAATTAGACTGTGTCTAATTTTTCAGCTTTCAGATACCCAAAATGAGGGGTACTAAAAACACAACTTGGGAATTCAAAATATATTTTGGTTAAATTAATATAATTTAGTTTTGCTTGCTAAGTGGAATGTGTGTAAAATTGCACAGAAATCATTTAAAATGATTGTCAAGTACTTGCCATTATACATTGATATTATTTTTACATAGTTATTATTATTGCAATTATTATTGCATTACCTGACATTTCCAGAAGGTAAAAAATTAAAATCCTTTGGTTTTCCGAAAGTAGTTTATGTGCTTTTTCACCAAGCATAGACTTAGCAAACGAAATGTTGTCCATTTACAAAAATAATTGCAGATTTGAATTCTTCTCACCCAAACCATATTTTTAAGACCCCTCACTGAAATGTGCAAAAATTAAGTTTCACCCCCTAAAATGGCACACCCAAATGCTCCATTTCACATGTGGTGCCACCTTTCGTGCCGAAGGGGTCCAAATATTGTGGATATAATATGGAGAAATCCCATGTCATAATTTGTTTCAGTACTGCGGATTTTACTTGAAAAGGTTCTTTTCATAAGAGGTTCTTCTCATGATCTGGAACATGAGAATGGTTAAACAGCTTAAACATGGGTTGACAACTAGAGAATGGTTTATGTTATGTTGTTGTTATGTTATGTTATGTTATGTTATGTTATGTTATGTTATGTTATGTTATGTTATGCTATGCTATGTTGTGTTATTATTTTACACCATTGCTGTAATCCAAAGGGCATGTGCTGGTTCCACCATGGTATGTCACTCCTGTGACTGTAGGTTTCAATATGCAACGTAAGAAAAAAATCTGTGAGTGTCTTAGGGAAGGATAAAATGCAGAGACAGACTTCTAAGTATGGCAAGTAATGAGATGGAGTCCTATCCTGGATTTTCTTTTTTTAAAACACACACATACAAAATAAATGGAAGCATTAACAAGGCTTGGTTGAGAGGAGATCTACAGATTTATGGCTTCCTGTCTCCACCAGCAGATGTCATTGTGGCTGGCAGAACAGAATGCCTTTTAAGAAGGATTGGGGGTGGGATTACAAAGGCTGGGGCGGGGGGGGGGGAGAAGAGAGAGAGAAGAAAAATCTGGTGTCCATTTTTATACATCAGCCAGAGTCCGTTTACAATTTTGAGCAGAACTGACACTGCACAGGATCAGCAGGCTTGCTCCTTCTGCTATTTATAACTAAGTAGGGGAAAGTAATTTAGCTTTATTTTTATTATTTTTTATTTCCAAGTCTGGGGAAAAGCCCACACGAGTTGCCAAAAGGGTTTTTGCACATTTAGTGGCACTGATGATGATGGAGAATAATTAATAAATAAAGTAGTGAGCAATCAGCCCTGCATTCCCTCCCCCCTCCCCTTCACTTGTCCAATGGAAAGGGATTGACTGGGATTTAAATGTTTTATTCTGCAGTTGAAACTATAGATTTTGGAATGAAATTAATGACACCTGCTTTTTTTCTAATTACACTATATTTTCTTCATCTTGTGCTTGGCAAAATATTTATGACTTGGCACAAATAGATCCTCAGACAAGAATAGGAGTGAAAACAGGCAGAACATTTTTTAAAGCAGAGGAGGACCTATTTGGAAATTGCATTGACTGTTTTCAAATAAATGTACTGTACTTTCTCTCAAGGATCCTCCTGAATCATCATCATCATCATCATCACATTGCCAGCAAAGGTCTGCATAGTTAAAGCTATGGTTTTCCCAGTAGTGATGTATGGAAGTGAGAGCTGGACCATAAAGAAGGCTGACCACCGAAGAATTGATGCTTTTGAATTATGGTGCTGGAGGAGACTCCTGAGAGTCCCATGGACTGCAAGAAGATCAAACCTATCCATTCTGAAGGAAATCAGCCCTGAGTGCTCACTGGAAGGACAGATCGTGAAGCTGAGGCTCCAATACGTTGGCCACCTCATGAGAAGAGAAGACTCCCTGGAAAAGACCCTAATGTTGGGAAAGATTGAGGGCACAAGGAGAAGGGGACGACAGAGGACGAGATGGTTGGACAGTGTTCTCGAAGCTACCAGCATGATTTTGACCAAACTGCAGGACGCAATGGAAGACAGGAGTGCCTGGCGTGCTCTGGTCCATGGGGTCACAAAGAGTCGGACACGACTAAACAACTCAACAACAAAAATAGTAATATCTGGTTCTGCATGTTGATTGTGGACAGTTCTGATTGGCTAACACCCATAACGTCACCAGAAAACTTCTGCTGAGACCCTAGAGATATATCTATGAATATGGCACCAGCCCACCCGTTGGACATGTGGGTCAAGCTTTGTCCGGCAGCCAGAACGGAAGAGTGCAGAAAACCAGCCAGCGGCTACATTTCCCTATTGATGGGGGCAACAGCCAATGGTAACAGGCATTTACCCAGAACCATATTTTCAGCCAAAATGATTTGGAAAAGCTTTCCTCAAAATATAATAAAATTGCCTAGGCAGTGAAGTATCCCCAGGACCCTGCAGCAACTCTCTCCATCATGAACAAAAAGAATTAGAGGAGGAATTTCCTGTGCTTGAGCAATGCTCTGGAATGTTCCTGAATTTTTGGTCACTTTTGATTTGAATTTGCTCTCAGGTCCTGACTTCTGGCTTTGTTCCTTGACTCCAGTTCCCGATCAGCTCTAGTCCTTGGTTCCTCTCATTCAGACTGCTGAAACCCTACGAACCTGTTTAGAAAGAGGCACTGTACAATAATTAAGTGAAATAGAATAAACCTTGCTTACAGTGTTTTTAATCCCTTTGTTTTTAAAGGATAAGACAATTAGGAAGTAGGGTAGATGCAAAAAGAAGGGTTGAGTATTAAAAAAGTATTTTTTGGGGGGGAGTGGGAGATAAGTGGCAGAACAAACCTAGACTGATACCCTCTAAGGTCTGAGATGCCCTATGATCATTTCTGAGAGCAAAAAGAGCTTATGCATGCTCGAAGAAACTGGCATCTCTGACATTGCCACTCAGACAAAACCATATCACTTGCTCAGGCATGAAGGCTTTCGCAGGGTTTTGTTTTTTCTCCCTTAAATGTCAAGGCAAGATAAATGGACAAATGTAGTTTACACATACCACGGGTGCTTGTCGAGTAAACAGCACAGAGCAAGCTTAACTGAAATATCAAACCCGGCTAAAAGAAGCAAATACATTTCGTGGCATTTTAATTGAAATGTAACTTTTCCCCGAGTTCTCTTGCTGCACTCGACGGGGGAGGAGAGAGAGCACATTGAAGAAAGGACAAGGCTTGCTTCAGTTAATTATGAATAACAACAAATGTTTGGGGAGGTTCTCAGTAAACGCTGCAACAGCTCCGCAAGGTAGGCCAGTATCAGGGTCTAATAACACATCAAGGGTAAATAAGAAGATAACAGTTCCTTCGACATTTTTATTTTTCAAAGAAAATTTAATATTTTTTTGGAAGCCGCCCAGAGTGGCTGGGGAGGCCCAGCCAGATGGGCGGGGTATAAATAATAAATTATTATTATTATTATTATTATTATTATTATTATTATTATTAAAGCAGCTTGAGGAAGTGGTCATTTTTAGCAGAGTGGTGGGGAAGCCAGGGTGCTTAACCCTTTCCCACCAGCTATTTCCCCTCTCTACTGAAGACTTCCAGGTATAAACATGTACAATAAGCCGTATTTCTTAAAGACACTAGTCGCCTTGATTTCCCAATGAAAACACAACCCTGGGTGAGTGTGACGTCCAACAGTACTAAGCTACATGTGAGATCTGTGGCTGCCTCCCCAGACATTTTCTTTTGCAGAAATGTATCCATGAGGAGAGTGGGAAACACGGCTCCCAATAACAGCAGTGGGAAGAGATGTTCAAAACGTTTCCCCTTCCTGACTTTCTGCTTGAAATATGGGGTGGGGGAGGTTAACAGCAACCCAGGAGGTGATTTTGATCGGGGGGGGGGGGAGAGAATGAATCTGGGGAAGAATTAGATGCCCGTTCCTCCAGCACCAGTCACCACTCTCATCAAACTGGCCTGCTCCAGTTGTAGATCATTAGAAAAGAAGAACTATCCAGGCGTTCACATATCAGCTGCATAGCATGTAGAACGGCCTCTCCAAACTTGATGCCCTCCAGATGTGTTGGACTACAACTCCCATCAGCCTCAGGCAGCACTTAAGAATACCTTCAGGGTCAGGGCAGCTGTACATCTCTTGGACCATTCAAAATGTAAAGCAAAGCTGATTGTTGACACTAAAATATACATATTTTTCACAATTAATTTGGAGCAAGGAATGTAGGAGGATACAGCCATTGCAGGTAAGCAAAGAAGAAGAAGAAGAAGAAGAAGAAGAAGAAGAAGAAGAAGAAGAAGAAGAAGAAGAAGAAGAAGAAGAACAACAACAACAACAACAACAACAACAACATCCTGCCCACCCTCCCAAAGGAGCCCAGGGTGGCAAACAAATCCATAATTTAAAAACAAAAACATTCCCATCTTGTGCCAAAGATCTGAAGAGTAGTTTCTCAGAGCAGGGGACGGAAAACAACTACAGCACAGTTTCCAGGAGATTGTTTATGAGAATGCCCTTGCGGTATCTCCAGGCTGGTAGGAGATCCGTCTAAAAGCTGCTCCCTACATTTCTTCATTATTATGGTCATCATCATCTTGGAAGCTTTGATGAAGCCAATTTATGGCGGGCTATAAAGGCAATGTCACTCCTTGCCAATTTTTTTACTGTGGGACAAATCCTGCCAGGGCCCGTGGATGTTTATGACAAGAATTGTGCCTCTATTGTCATCCGCACCCAAGTCCTTTCTTAAAAGATGGGACTCAAGAAGCCTCCTGTAATTAAACCTTGCATTCCAACAAAGTTAAAGAGTTTGACTTCATCAGGCCCCAGTGACAAGGCTTTATGAATCCACTCCCTTTTGAGGCCTGCCTGGGTTGAACTCTTGACGCCACCACGAAACGGATCCTTCTTTTTATTTCCATAGCATGTCTGCTGGTTGTTTGCTCAACATGTCAATAGTTTCCCCCAGTGCTTTTTTTTTCTTTAAAAAAAATGTTTAGGGGTACTCTCATTTTCCTACTCATGTTGAAATACTGTCCCTCAATGAGGCCAAACTTAGATTCACAAAACGTTTAGGGTTATGCGTACCGCTGCGTACCCCCAGAAAAAAAAGCATTGGTTTTCCCTCCCCAGTGTGCAATACGGTGCATTTGCTTTTACAGATGGTGTGGGTGGCTGGCACATTCATTAGCCGAAAATGGTCTTGTGACCCAACATAATTTTTTCAATGCATGGTGGGTGTCCAAATCTCTCTCGTAATTAGTGCTGTTCTTGCACCTTCCTAATCATTTGGGGCCTCAAGACTCTAGGAGCACAGCTAGACTGGAAAAGAAAAGGTGATTTATATGTGTTGTATATGTGATATAGTACTGTGCCACCAGATGGCGGTGTGGAGTCCCATTTTTCTCTACCTGTTTTCCCTGTTTAAATTTACAATGCGTTTAATGGAAACGCTTCTTTGATGTGTGTAGATTGAGCCTATGATAGCATTCCCCAACGTGGAACACAGGAAGCTACCTAATAGTATGCAAGGCCATCTGCCTAGCTCAGGATCAACTCCATTGACTGGCAAGAGCCCTCCACAATTTCAGACATGATCTGTCCCACCTGGGATGTCAGAGAATTCTGATGGAAATGGAAATGGAGGTGGAAATTGCTGAAGTTTGTTTCTTTGTCCCATGTCCAGGATGGAAATCAGTCCAGCAAATATAACTGGCATTTCCTGCTGCTGTTTTCAGTTGACAAGCAATATGCAGTTGATGATATTCTCCCTTCTCCATATACATTCCTCTTCCTTTGCATTGAAATGAATTGTGTGGAATAACATACAGAATTATGTAAACGTCTGTCTCAGAAACAAATAAAGTAGGGTTTGCATACAACCTGAAGTTTCAGAACATAGCCCGAATACAGCAGTCAGAAACAGTTCTGGGTGGAAATCGCTGAAATGTCTGTGGAAATCTGGACATACGGCAACCCATATTGGAAGGCTAGTTTTTGCCGAATTTCCTTTTTCAAAAGCTCAAAAACTTCAGGTTTTTTTTAAAAAAAGATTTTGCCAAAAAAAACTCAACAACTTTGTCCCACCCCCAAAGAAGCTCAACAACTCTGGTCCCAACTTTTTTGGCAACCCTAAATAAAGTATTATTATGTTCAGAGAAGTTTTTAATGTGTGACATTTTAATGTATTTTTAATCTTTGTTGGAAGCCACCCAGCGGGGCTGGGGAAACCCAGCCAGATGGGTGGGGTACAAATAATAAATTATTACTATTACTATTATTATTATTATTATTATTATTAGTCAGAAGCTGAAATGCAGCGGAATGGAAACAGCACTGCATGCAACAAGCAGAGATCAGAATCAAAATCAACCCTACCTAGAAGTGCTGAGGGACTGAACCCGAGTCCTTTTGCATACAAAACGTGTTCTCTACCACTGAGCCACAGTGCTTCCTCCAAAGTATTTTTGACTGGCTGGTCTGATGGGCACCAGGTTGGGGACACATGAAGGATATGAAGACCTATAATTCTTATGGGTAGCCTTCTAGGTCTCTTTAAGACCTTTCATCCAATTAACCTTTACAATTAATTACGCAGAAGTGGCTGAACATCTTACAATGATTCTGTGTTATCACACAAAGTCACTCTACATGGTTTAGTTTTGCTTTTGCTGCTTACAGTGAATACCTTCCCGCACCATTTTGCATCTGGATTTATTTATTTTTAATATAAAAAAAGGAGAAACCATTCTGAATATGGAGACCTCTGTGTGGTAACTGACTGGCACTTCAGAGTATTTGCTGAGAGTCAGAAAAAGGGTATAGATGGAGATGAAAGGAATTTACCTGTCAAAATAACGGCTCTGTTTGGTTACCTCTGTCCATGGGACAGTTTTTGTAAACTGTCAATCAGTGGCTTGCTAAATAACCTCTCCAAAGCATAATCCACTTTTTCAGAAGATATCGGCACGTCAATCATTTATTGAATCAAAGCCAAAATTGAAGCCGTGTAAAGCCCACTTTGTCAATCATTCCTCGTTATTCTTTCCACTAACCACCTGACAGCTTTTAAGTTTCTGCATTTTCTATTCCACACAGTTTAGTTAAGAGTCTTTCATTTTTTTTTTAATTGGCCTCCTTTTATGATCGGTAGCTAAGCAACTAATATGTTGTTTTATATGGTAATAATGGGTGCAAACTTCAGAGCTTCCTTGACCATTCCCTCCTTTGTTGAGAGGAAATTATTTTCCTTCAAGTTGCTAAATAGCAGATGTAGCAGAAACAATGATTTAATTATGGGTTGTCCTGTTGTTTCTATCTATAAACACTTTTGGCACTGCTTAAAAATAAACACTGGCAAAGAGATACTGCGTGATTTTTTAAAAAAGAAAAAAACACTCATGAGAGAGAGGGAGAGAGGGAGCACCCTGGAACATCTCAGCTAAGGGTAGAAGGGAGGGGAGCCAAGGATTGGAATGGCAAGAAAATAAGAGGGGAAGAGCAAAGACAGAAGAAAGAAAAACTTGAAAGCAAAGCAAACTTCAGGCGCAAACTTTGCTTCCGTTTAATTTATCCTTGTTTGGCAAAATCTCTGCTTTAGATCACTTTAAGCCCAGCAAATGATGGGTAGAGCAAGGAGAAATCAGGACCTGGAATGGGTTCCGAATGAATGATAATCTCCAAGATTCCTTGGGTTCCAGGCACTTAGCCAGCGTTCAGTGGAGACGTGTCTTTATGATATATGGTTTATTTGCACATATGTACAACCCAAGCCAACGATGGAGAGGCTCATAGCATTAACACCTCAAGAAAGTCCTGCTTCTCCCATAGCCAGAGCCTTGGA